AACGAATGGAACGGTAGTTTAGGCAAAGCGTCTGGCTGATCTGTCGAGAGGAGAAGCGGCATCGAGAGACGAGCCACGGTAACCGGGTGGGCCTACGGAGCGCCGCAAGACGAAGAGTAGGGCCGAGGCGGCAGTGACGCCGGCAAGCCTGCGTTGCCGGGTCGAAGTGGCGCAGCCGAGGCGACAGACAAGCCGCGTCAAGCGTGCCCTTTGTAGGTGTGTCGAGGGCAGTGCCCAAGTGACAAGGTCAGCGGAGCAGTCGGTGCCGCGCTTGTGATTGGTCAAGACGCGGCAACACCTCGTCCCGTCGCGTGGGCCAGCCGACCTACAGGGCCACACACTCACACACACACACACACACACACTCACACAGGTGGGCATGCCCGAGTTGACGGACGAGCGGGTGCAGTCGTCTCGGCGCAGACCGAGTGACGAGGAGGGCTGGAGTGACGCCTCGATTTGATTGGACGCTTGCGACTCGCAGCACCCTCGACATCGGCCCACTCCACGTGGCCTCGGTCCGGCTGGCCAACCGGGAGGCGGCGATTTCCGGTCCAGCCGGAACGGCCTCGAGTCAGACGAGGCGGCCAGTCGCGCCACTCGACACCTCTCCGCAGCCGCGCCACGCCGCTCCTCTCCTCTCCTCCGCACGCACACACACACACACAGACACAAGCACACGCGATGTCACGAGTCGATCCCGCAGGTGGCCTCGGCCTGTCCCGGTCGACGGCGTCGCGGAGACTGCCGCTGCAACGGATTGAACCGATGAACCAGCAGGCCGGCGCCTTCGCGGCCCGACCCGGCCGGTCGTGCGCCTCGAGTCCGGCCGGCAGCGACGTCGAGAACCAGCCGCTCGTCGGTTGCCGACGCAGCCAACCCGACCACAACGACGGTGCCGAGGCCAGGCTCTTCCGCAAGGTACCCCTCGGATGCTCCCTCTTTTGCCGCATACCCGCTACTCACCCTCTCCCCGTTTGTTGGGCTTCGATAATACACTTCTTCTTCTCTCCTCATTCTGCATCATCTCTGCCGGTCTCTGATGCTCTTCATGCAATCGGGATCGTCTGTCTTGGTCTCTCATCCTCATCATTCATTCCAGATCGTATCTGTTGGTATCTGATCTTCTTTATTTAAGCCGGATCATATCTGTCGGTTTGTGATCATCGCTATTAATTCTACATCTTCTGCCTTTGTCTCTGATCCACTTTATTCAATCTGGATAATCTTTGTTTGTCTCTGATCCACTTTATTCAATCTGGATCATCTCTCTTGTTCTGTTATAATATCTATTTATTCTGGATCATCTGCCTTGATCTCTGATCCGCTTTATTCATTCTTGATCATATCAGTCGGTTTGTGATCATCTCTATTAATTCTAGATCTGTATTTGTTTCTGATCCCCTTTATTCAATCTGGATCATCTGTCTTTTTCTCTCATCCTCATCATTTATTCCAGATCGTATCTGTTGGC